GGCCTTGCAAAAGTATTCATCCCCTTGGCGTTATTCCTATTTTGTTGCATTACAACCTGTAATTTAAATGGATTTTTATTTGGATTTCATGTAATGGACATACACAAAATAGTCCAAATTGGTGAAGTGAAATAAAAATAAAAAACTTGGTTAAAAAAATTCAAAAAAACAAATAACGGAAAAGTGGTGCGTGCATATGTATTCACCCCCTTTGCTATGAAGCCCCTAAATAAGATCTGGTGCAACCAATTACCTTCAGAAGTCACATAGTTAGTTAAATAAAGTCCACCTGTGTGCAAACAAAGTGTCACATGATCTGTCACATGATCTCAGTATATATACACCTGTTCTGAAAGGCCCCAGAGTCTGCAACACCACTAAGCAAGGGGCACCACCAAGCAAGGGGCACCATGAAGACCAAGGAGCTCTCCAAACAGGTCAGGGACAAAGTTGTGGAGAAGTACAGATCAGGGTTGGGTTATGAAAAAATATCAGAAACTTTGAACATCCCTCGGAGTACCATTTAAATCCATTATTAAAAAAATGGAAAGAATATGTTACCACAAAAAACCTGCCAAGAGAGGGCCGCCCACCAAAACTCACGGACCAGGCAAGGAGGGCATTAATCAGAGAGACAACAAAGAGACCAAAGATAACCCTGAAGGAGCTGTCCATAGGACCATTTTAAGCTGTACACTCCACAGAGCTGGGCTTTACGGAAGAGTGGCCAGAAAAAAGACATTGCTTAAAGAAAAAAATAAGCAAACACGTTTGGTGTTCGCCAAAAGCCATGTGGGAGACTCCCCAAACATATGGAAGAAGGTACTCTGGTCAGATGAGACTCAAATTGAGCTTTTTGGCCATCAAGGAAAATGTCTGCCGCAAACCCAACACCTCTCATCACCCTGAGAACACCATCCCCACAGTGAAGCATGGTGGTGGCAGCATTATGCTGTGGGTATGTTTTTCATTGGACTGGGAAACTGGTCAGAATTGAATGAATGATGGATGGCGCTAAATACAGGGAAATTCTTGAGGGAAACCTGTTTCAGTCTTCTAGAGATTTGAGACTGGGACGGAGGTTCACCTTCCAGCAGGACAATGACCCTAAGCATACTGCTAAAGCAACACTTGAGTGGTTTAAGGGGAAACATTTAAATGTCTTGGAATGGCCTAGTCAAAGCCCAGACCTCAATACTTATGCACGCTCAAGTTTTCTGTTTTTTTGTCTTATTTCTTTTTTGTTTCACAATAAAAAATATTTGGCATCTTCAAAGTGGTAGGCATCTTGTGTAAATCAAACGATACAACCCCCCCCAAAAAAATCCATTTTAATTCCAGGTTGTAAGGCAACAAAATAGGAAAAATGCCAAGGGGAGTGAATACTTTCGCAAGCCACTGTAGAAATCTGATTTGGTCTTCCTGATCAATCCTGTGCATTTGATTCTTAGTGCTCTGAAGGATGCCCAGTCAACAGGAGCATTTGTAAGTCTAGCTTGGGCCCAAGAGACATTTCTCTTTCAAATTAATTCTGCCAAGTTATCTGAAAATCAGGGATTGTCCTTCCACTGATTCTAAATTTCTCACAGGGGCATGCTTATCATAAATGGACACAAATGTAATATAAAAATTGTCCCAAACAGTGTCAACATCGGGAATCAGACTTACTCTGTCAATATTATGGTACAGATCATGTAAAAACGCTTGCTCATCAAACTGTCTAAAATATCTTTAAAAAATATAACGGGGTTTGGCTTTGGTAATTTTTGTATTTCTAACACAAGCACAATGGTCACTGACATCATTACAGAATATTCCAGTCGATGTGTATTTGTGAGGGGTATTCGTTAGAAGAATGTCCAACAGCGTTGATTTGTTAGGGGCTCTGGGATTCGGTCTTGTAGGTGCATTAATTAATTGCGTAAGATTCAGATAGTCACACAGTTTTTTTAAAGAGTCCGATACAGATGTAAGCGCAAGCAATTCAAAATGTTTGGCTTTGGTAATTTCAGAGATGTTAAATTTGGATTTCACATAAATTGCAACCCCTCCTCCTTTACTCATCCATTCAGTTCTAAAAATAGTGTACCCATCAATAGAAATCAAGTTATTTGACACAGATTTATTTAGCCAAGTTTCTGATAAAACCATTATGCCCGCATTTGTCGTATTGGCCCATATTCTAATCATGGCTATTTTTGGAAATAGACTTCTCACATTAACATGCAAGAGGCCAAAACCTGCTCTGTTTTTAAAATCATAGGGAGTCGGTAGAGATTGCATAGTATCCACCAGCCCAGGGTTTGGTCCCACATTACCAGAGATAAACAATAAAAGCATAACAACACATCTGCCCAATGCGTGAGGCCTTGGCAGAGCCAGCGCCATTGTCAATAAAATGAGCGGAGTCTTTCGACACAGAAAAAAAGATTTTGGAAGTATGCTATCATGTGTAGGCCCACTTGCGTTTGAGAGTGGTACAAATGCAATTGCAGAGAGAGACCAAGTTCCTGGTGGTATTGACATGATGGTCTCGTGGGAGTGTTTGCAAATTGTACAGCATAAGGTGATCATTCAGCCTATTTAATCCAGGATGGCATTGAGTGAAGAGCAAGCACAGTAACAGATACATAATGCCGGTTTTTAGAGATCTTTCAGCACAGGTGTGCAACGACCAGTAGACGTTGTGTAGAATGACGTAGATTCTCCCACAGCCCACCGTGCATCAGGTTGTCCAATTTGGCGACCGCTTCTTCGCTCCTAGCCTTCAGTGCACACCTGTGCTCGCGTAGCAGGCCTTACGTGCAGACAGACGCTCCTGACTCGCGTTCCAACTCCAAAAAGGTGTAGGCTCCAGTTTACAAGCGGCCCGAGTCCAAAAATAAAGGCCTTCTCAATCAAAAATCTTTGTACATCAAATTTCGTAAACTAGAGACTGAGATCTAAAAATAATAGTTGTTATATACAGCATCCACCTTCACATCAAACGTCTTTGCTTCTGTAGACAGGATCAGGGTCATTAAAACATAGAAACTCATAAAACTCAGATCTAAAAAACCACAGATCTCTAGGATCAGACACACAAACCGACAGTCTGAATTTACAGATGCAAAATTGGCCTACAAATGCTAACATCAAATGCCATTCTAAACACAAAGAAAATAAACAAAAATAGAAAACACAGCAGAACATAAAGTAGACAGCCTGATGTAAGAGGGCAACACGCTTCTTTTGAGCCAATTGGTGCAAAATTATAGGAGTAGACCCTCCCGCAGCTGAAAGGCTTATGGTCTTATAATAGACAGTGCATTCGGAAAGTATTCAGACCCCTTGACTTTTTCCACATTTTATTACGTTACGGCCTTATTCTAAAATGGGTTAAATTGTTTTTTTCCCCCCTCATCAATCTACAGACAATACCCCATAATGACAACGCAAAAAAGGTTTTTTGACATTTTTGCAAATGTATTAAAAATAAAAAACGAAAATATCACATTTACATAAATATTCAGACCCTTTAATCAGTAGTTTGTTGAAGCACCTTTGGCAGCGATTACAGCCTTGAGTCTTCATTGGTATGACGCTACAAGTGTGGCACACCTGTATTTCGGGAGTTTCTCCCATTCTTCTCTGTAGATCCTCTCAAGCTCTGTCAGATTGGATAGGGAGCATTTCTGCACAGCTATTTTCAGGTCTCTCCAGAGATGTTCGATCGGGTTCAAGTCCGGGCTCTGGCTGGGCCACTCAAGGACATTTAGAGACTTGTCCCGAAGTCACTCCTGCGTTGTCTTGGCTGTGTGCTTAGGGTCATTGTCCTGTTGGAAGGTGAACCTTCGCCCCAGTCTGAGGTCCGGAGTGCTGTGGAGCAGGTTTTCATCAAGGATCTCTCTGTACTTTGCTCCGTTCATCTTTGCCTCCATCCTGACTAGTCTCCCAGTCCCTGAAAAACATCCCCACAGCATGATGCTGCCACCACCATGCTTCACCGTAGGGATGGTGCCAGGTTTCCTCCAGACGTGATGCTTGGCAATTAGGCCAAAGAGTTCAATAATCGTTTAATCAGACCAGAGAATCTTGTTTCTCATGGTCTGTCATGTGACTTTTACAGAGGAGTGGTTTCCGTCTGGCCACTCTACCATAAAGGCCTGATTGTTGGAGTGCTGCAAAGATGGTTGTCCTTCTGGAAGGTTCTCCCATCTCCACAGAGGAACTCTGGAGCTCTGTCAGAGTCACCATCGGGTTCTTGGTCACCTCCCTGACCAGGTCCCTTCTCCCCCGATTGCTCAGTTTGGCCGGGCGGCCAGCTCTAGGAATAGTCTTGGTGGTTCCAAACTACTTCCATTTAAGAATGATAGAGGCCACTGTGTTCTTGGGGACTTTCAATGCTGCAGAAATGTTTTGGTACCCTTCCCCAGATCTGTGCCTCGACACAATCCTGTCTTGGAGCTCTACGGACAATTCCTTCGACCTCATGGCTTGGTTTTTGCTCTGACATGCACTGTCAACTCTGGGACCTTATGTAGACAGGTGTGTGCCTTTCCAAATCATGTCCAATCAATTGAATTTACCACAGGTGGACTCCAATCAAGTTGTAGAAACATCTCAAGGATTATCAATGGAAACAAGATGCACCTGAGCTCAATTTCAAGTATCATTGCAATGGGTCTGAATACTTATGTAAATGAATGTGCAAAAATGTCTAAAAACCTGTTTTCGCTTTGTCATTATGGGTATTGTGTGTAGATTGATGAGGATTTTTTATTTATTTAATCAATTTTAGAATAAGGCTGTAACGTAAGAAAATATGGAAAAGTCAAGAGATCTGAATACTTTCTGAGTGCACTGTATACTGTATAGATACTCTTCAAGAATCAATTGGTATTGATAATTAATTTAAAAGTCCAAAAATTGATGTACCAATCGCAGATCGCTACAAATCAGAATCTAGATTGGATATGTACAGTTTTAATTAATTTGGGTATCTACCTGTGTACATGTAAATGCCCAGAATAATTGTTGTTTTGATTTTTATCCTGCACTTTGGTGACGACATCTTTATGACAGAGGAGCAGAAGAAATATCATGAAGCCATGAAGAAACTAGGCTCGAAGAAGCCGGTGAAGCCTATCCCAAGGCCTACGGTATGTAACGCATAAATGGCATTCAGTTATAGCCATACCCTCATGCTACTCTCTAGTATTTTGATTCATTACGTCTTTCTAGTCCAAGACTAAATTTACTCTCTACATAAGCACCTTCAATAAATAAGTTGCTGATTATAAGGAATACATAATTTGATCAATGATCATTTGTGTTGAAAGTGCATTTTTAATGTATAGAATTTCAATGTCAATCTTTTGACCAATGATTGTGTGATACATTTAATGTACAAGTAATAATTCAATTATGTTATGGGGCTAGAGTCCGCAAGGCCTGCTCTGAGTATACCACATACACAGTGACATTAGAATGTGTGACTTTGCCATGACGTCATCGTTGACCCACATTAACCTTTTCTACACAACATTGGCTTTAACAGACTTAATGGAATTTGTGTTTGTCTCTCCCCTGCTCTCCCTCTCGCCCTCTCTTCCATGTGACCCTCGGGCCCCTACAGAACATGATTCAAGGCGCTGTATTTGACTTCATCACTCAGCAGTTCTTTGACATCTTCATCATGGTCCTCATCTGCCTCAACATGGTCACCATGATGGTGGAGACGGACGACCAGAGCGTGGAGAAGGAGGACGTCCTCTACAAGATCAACCTGGCCTTCATCATCGTTTTCACCGGCGAGTGTCTGCTCAAGATGTTTGCCCTTCGCCATTACTTCTTTACCATCGGATGGAATATCTTTGATTTTGTCGTGGTAATCCTGTCCGTAGCAGGTATGTACCTCAGGATCCTTTATACTGTATACCTTATTGTATACTGTACATATGATAAGTCATAGACAAGTTATAACAGGGTTGGGGTCAATACCATTTAAATTCAAGTCAATTCAGAAAGTAAACCAAATTCAAATTAAAACATTTCACACTGAAAAGCATTGAAGAGAATTGGAATTGGAATTTCAGTGTACTTCCTGAATTGACTGGAATTGAAATTGACCCCGGAATTGACCCCAACCCTGAGTTATACTATAGGTTTTGTTATCAGACAAGATTAGTTATTTCAACAGTAGATGGAGAGGTGTGATTGGTCATTAACCATTGTTTATCTAATTTCCTTTCAGGTATAATGCTGTCGGACATCATAGAGAAGTACTTTGTGTCACCCACCTTGTTCAGGGTCATCAGGCTGGCTAGGATAGGCAGGGTCCTGCGTCTCATCAAAGGTGCCAAGGGCATTCGGACGCTGTTGTTTGCGTTGATGATGTCACTCCCTGCCCTGTTCAACATCGGCCTCCTGCTCTTTCTCATCATGTTCATCTTCTCCATATTTGGCATGTCCAACTTTGCCTACGTCAAAAAACAGGCGGGCATCGACGACATCTTCAATTTCCAGACGTTCGGCAGCAGTATTATCTGCCTGTTTGAGATCACCACCTCTGCGGGTTGGGACGGTCTTCTGCTGCCAATTCTAAACAGTGGTCCTCCGGACTGCGACCCAGACATTGAGAACCCGGGCTCGGACGTGCGGGGCAACTGCGGCAACCCGGGCATGGGTATCATGTTCTTCTGCAGTTACATCATCATGTCCTTCCTGGTGGTGGTCAACATGTACATTGCCATCATCCTGGAGAACTTCAACACGGCCCAAGAGGAGAGCGGGGACCTGCTGTGCGAGGATGACTTTGTGATGTTCGACGAGACCTGGGAGAAGTTCGACCTGGAGGGCACGCAATTCATAGAATATGCCAAGCTGTCAGAGTTTTGCGACACCCTGCAGGAACCCCTGCGTATCGCCAAGCCCAACCGGATCAAGCTGATCTCCATGGACCTGCCCCTGGTCACGGGCGATAAGATTCACTGCCTGGACATCCTGCTGGCTGTCACCCAGGAGGTGCTGGGCGAAGGGGTGGAAATGACGGCCATGAAGGTGAGCATCGAGGCCAAGTTCAACATGAACAACCCCACGACAGACTCCTACGAGCCCATCACCACCACACTGCGGCGCAAGGAGGAAGAGGCGGCAGCCGTGATCATCCAGCGGGCTTACCGCAAGCACCTGCTCAAGCGCTCCATCCTGCATGCCTCCTTCATGCACCGCTCCAAGAGGCAGATAAGGCGGGAGGAGAACGAGGAGCCCCCGGAGACGGAGGGACTTCTTGTGCGAAAGATGAACGTGCTCTATGGGAGCAACCTGGACCTTGCTGCAGAGATGGAATTGGCTGGGTTGCGAGCACAACCCGTCTCGGTCCCTGTGGTGTCCAATCGGCCATCGGACCTCCCCAAGCAAACACATCCCACCAGGCCGGAGCCTGGCAAACCACTCCTCTTGGTGGTCCCTGTAGAGTTCACCAGTGAGGTGGTGTTACACTCAGCCCCTGTGACGTCTGATCCACCATTGGACCTCCCCGAGCAAACACAGCCATCAGGGTCGGAGCCCACAGGGCCGGAGCCTACCTGGCCGGAACCTGCTGGGCCGAACCTCTTGGTGGTCCCCGTAGAGGTTACCAGTGAGGTGGTGTTACGCTCCTCCCCCTGTTTGTGTAGCCTTGAGTCAATAGACAACCTGCGAGAGTCGATTGTATAACAAAAAGCACTTGAGGGAATTCACCATGGTCTTCCTATTGTATTTTTCACTGATCAAGCGAGTAATTTTATAGTCGACGCTTCCACATAGCACTACTATAAAGTGATTACAAGTAGCTGATGGTTTAGGTATAATAAATAAAGTCAAGTTTATTGATCCTAATAGGGGGTCTCGTTTTCTATTTCTATTTTTGTAAGGCCATTTCTAGACTTGATCTATATTTGACCACTGGACTGTTAAATAACTCTGTATTCTATTTTATACCTACAAACAATTCTCAATCTCACAAAATATAAAATGTTTGATAATCAGTATCCATACATTTCCCATAGGAATTGAGCATGTTTTGACAGTGAAAATTAAAGATAATCTACCCACATCTAATTGTTTTGAAGTAATGCCTAAATGCCTTTATTGCCATGAAAGCATTGAGGAACATTTCATACTCAGATCATGCCTTATTTTGACATTTTGGAATCACCTTATTTTGGGGGGAAAATCACCCAGATTCACCTTTGCCTACACCAGTATGATTTCTGATCTACATTCATGAATGAAGTTTGCCTATGTCAAAGTGGAATTATGTTTTTCAATTTTGTTTACAAATTAATTAAAAATGAAAAGCTGAAATTTCTTCAGTCAGGAAGTATTCAACTCCTTTGTTATGGCAAGCCTAAATAAGTTCAGGAGTGAAAATATGGTTAAAAAGTCATAAAATAAGTTGCAATGACTACCCCATCTCTGTACCCCACACATACAATTTTCTGTAAGGTCCCTCAGTCAAACAGTGAATTTCAAACACAGATTCAACCACAAAGGCCAGAGAGTTTTTCCAATGCCTCGCAAAGGGCACCTATTGGTAGATGGGTAAATAATAAAATTAAAAAGCAGACATTGAATATCCTTTTGAGCATGATGAATATCATTAATTATTATTATTAATAGCATTATTATATTATAATATTATTATTATATATTATGATGAAGATATTAATTCCACTTTGGATTGTGTATCAATATACCCAGTCACTACAAAGATACAGGCGTCCTTCCTAACTCAGTTGCCGGAGAGGAAGGAAACTGCTCAGGGATTTCACCATGAGGCCAATGGTGACTTTAAAACAGTTATGGAGTTTAATGGCTGTGATAGGAGAAAACTGAGGATGGATCATCAACATTGTAGTTACTCCACAATACTAACCTAATTGACAGAATGAAGAGAAGGAAGCCTGTACAGAATAAAACATATTCCAATACATGCATCCTCTTTGCAACAAGGCACTAAAGTAATACTGCAAAAAATGTGGCAAAGCAATTCACTTTTTGTGTTATATTTGGGGCAAATCCAACACAACACATTACTGAGTACCACTCCATATTTTCAAGCATGGTGGTGGGTGGCTACATCATGTTTTGGGTATCCTTGTAATCAATAAGGACTGGGGAGCTTTTCAGGATAAAAAAGAAATGGAATGGAGCTAAGCACAGGCCAAATCCTAGAGAAAAACCTGGTTCAGTCTGCTTTCCTCCAGACACTGGGGGATTAATTCACCTTTCAGCAGGACAATAACTTAAAACACAAGGCCAAATCTACTCTGGAGTTGCTTACCAAGAAGACAATGTATGTTCCTGAGTGTCCGAGTTACAGTTTTGACTTAAATCTGGTTGAAAATCTATGGAAATACCTGAAAATTGATGTCTAGCAATGATCAAGAACAAATTTGACAGAGCTTGAAGAATTTTGAAAAGAATAATGGGCAAATGTTGCACAATCCAGGTGTGGAAAGATATTAGAGCCTTACCCAGAAAGACTCACAGCTGTAATCGCTGCCAAAGGTGATTCTAACACGCATTGATTCAGGGGGTTGAATACTTATCTAATCAAGATGTTATTTCTTTTAATTATTTTTAATGTTAGCATGTTTCTTTCACTTTGACATTAGAGTATTTTATTTAGATCGTTGACAAAAAATGACAATGAAGTCAATTTTAATCCTACTTTGTAACACAACAAAATTTGGAACAAGTCAAGGGGTGTGAATACATTCTGAAGGCACTGTATATCCGTGTAACTGCCAGAGGCACCCCAGTCTCAATGCCCCTCAGAGCTGGTTGCATCACTTTGTGTCTAACAGGTCTACTGGTAATCCTTTATTGTATTTCTTGATTTTGTCGCTTCAGCTGTTAGTGTCATCTCCAAAATATATTTACGTACTGGGGTGAGTATCGGTTGGTTTACAAGGGAATAATTTCAACTGAATCTGTAATGTTTACATGAGCATTATGTCATACAACAGTGTACTGTTACTGGATGTCTGTCTGAAATGTTTCTACATTTGTCTCTGATGGGTGAGCCAATATAATTACATGTTACAGTGGTATAGATCTAGTTCATAATATGAGTGTGAGATCATATGCAGTTTGTCTTATTGAGTTAATCAACATTTTCATTTAATGACTAGTCCATTGTGCGATGTGTGAGGAATGAATGGGAGTGTTGTGGTTGAATATACAGGACCAGCCATGTAATCTTGCCACCTGCGTAAGTCTTTCGACTGTTAATATGCCTGCCTGATGACTGTACAGAAGGGGAAAAAAGTATTTAGTCAGCCACCAATTGTGCAAGTTCTCCCAATTAAAAAGATGAGAGAGGCCTGTAATTTTCATCATAGGTACACGTCAACTATGACAGACAAAATGAGGAAAAAAATCCAGAAAATCACATTGTAGGATTTTTAATGAATTTATTTGCAAATTATGGTGGAAAATAAGTATTTGGTCACCTGCAAACAAGCAAGATTTCTGGCTCTCACAGTGTTTGGAGGACAAAGAATGCTGAGTTGCATCCAAAGAACACCATACCTACTGTGAAGCATGGGGGTGGAAAAATCATGCTTTGGGGCTGTTTATCTGCAAAGGGACCAGGACGACTGATCCGTGTAAAGGAAAGAATGAATGGGGCCATGTATCGTGAGATTTTGAGTGAAAACCTCCTTCCATCAGCAAGGGCATTGAAGATAAAACGTGGCTGGGTCTTTCAGCATGACAATGATCCCAAACACACCGCCCGGGCAACGAAGGAGTGGCTTCGTAAGAAGCATTTCAAGGTCCTGGAGTGGCCTAGCCAGTCTCCAGATCTCAACCCCATAGAAAATCTTTGGAGGGAGTTGAAAGTCTGTGTTGCCCAGCGACAGCCCCAAAACATCACTGTTCTAGAGGAGATCTGCATGGAGGAATGGGCCAAAATACCAGCAACAGTGTGTGAAAACCTTGTGAAGACTTACAGAAAACGTTTGACCTGTGTCATTGCCAACAAAGGGTATATAACAAAGTATTGAGAAACTTTTGTTATTGACCAAATACTTATTTTCCACCATAATTTGCAAATAAATTCATAAAAAATACTACAATGTGATTTTTTTTTTTTTTTTCTCATTTTGTCTGTCATAGTTGACGTGTACCTATGATGAAAATTACAGGCCTCTCTCATCTTTTTAAGTGGGAGAACTTGCACAATTGGTGGCTGACTAAATACTTTTTTCCCCCACTGTATATTCTTTGTTTTATTACTACGGCAAAGGGACTATTGAATGGTGTACGTTTTTGCTCTTCGGTCCCACTTTATTTAGATAGTCCTCTATAGATGGTCTATATGTTAAAACTATCAACAAAAGTTTCAACTTCAAGTCTGTTAACATGCAACAACTTGCTGAGGTTTGGGTTAGGTTTAGGGCTAGGTTTAGGGTTGAAGTTAGGGTCATGTTTAGGTATAGGGTTAAGTTTAGGTTAAGGGTAATGGCTAGGTTAGGGTTAGTGGATATTGTTTGAACAATTTGTTAATAGTTCACAGCAGGCAAAATTGGTTGAAATTGTGTAATTTCGACAAATTCTGTCCACTGGGTTAGTTGAACATCCATTAGCCATCAATATGGGACTATCCAAATAAACTGTTACCGGCTCTTCTTCAACATACTGCTAGATGCCACAGGACTTATCCCACATTTTCTCATGAGCAAGACTGCGTAGCAAACATCTTGATACTCACCTACCTGCAGAATTCGTCTGAATACCAACACCCTGGTGATGTGTGTCATTTTGTACTTCCAATTCCATTTTGCGCAAGCTTATATCAACTCTGACTCGCCCCCTTAGTGGGAAAACATGTTTTTAGAATATTAGCAAATGTATTGAAAATGAAATACAGAAATATCTCATTTACATAAGTATTCACATCCCTGAGTCAATACTTTGTAGAAGCACCTTTGGCACCTTTGGCAGCGATTACAGCTTCCCACACCTGGATTGTAAAATATTTTCCCATTATTCTTCAAGCTCTGTAAAATTGGTTGTTGATCATTGCTAGACAACCATTTTCAGGTCTTGCCATAGATTTTCAAGTAGATTTAAGTTAAAACTATGACATCAGCCACTCAGGAACATTCAGTGTCTTCTTGGTAAGCAACTCCAGAGTAGATTTGGCCTTGTGTTTTAGGTTATTGTCCTGCTGAAAGGTGAATTCATCTCCCAGTGTCTGGTGGAAAGCAGACTGAACCAGGTTTTTCTCCAGGATTTTGCCTGTGCTTAGCTCCATTCCGTTTATTTTATATCCTGAAACACTGCCCAGTCCTTAATGATTACAAAGATACCCATAACATGATGCAGCCACCACTATGCTTTAAAATATGGAGAGTAGTACTCAGTAATGTGTTGTATTGGATTTGTCCCAAACATAACACTATGTATTCAGGACAAATAGGGAATTGCTTTGCCACATTTTTTACAGTATTACTTTAGTGCCTTGTTGCAAACAGGATTAATGTTTTGGAATATTTGTATTCTGTACTGGCTTCCTTCTTCTCACTCTGTCAATAAGGTTAGTATTGTGGAGTAACTACATTGTTGTTGATCCAACCTCAGTTTTCTCCTATCACAGCCATTAAATTCTGTAA